AATCAATTAATCTTGATTTTTAAGAATGAATTTAAGCAGATCACCAATCACACTAAAAATGTTGCCCTTTAGTCTCTCATTTTACATATTATAGTATCATCTTCTGTTTTATCACATATCCTATTATCTCCCCAGTGTGATTCTGAGCACCACAAAATTGGAACCAATTTAGAATATAGGTGATTGTGTTTTATTCAATATAATTACCAAGACTTTTCAGTGAGAGGTTCAAGAGTGTTTACCTCAGGAATTTGATTTCTTTCTCCTGAGGTAAAGCTTAATTATTCTTGGCCTTCTGATATATTTATTTTATTTGCATTATTAAAAATAAGCATATTTTTAATTTTAAATAAATTGCACTCAGTAGCAATTGTTTTAAGGCAAAGGAATTACTAAATACCAGCTAATACCAGTGTTAGTGGTGAGCAATTGAATTAGAATGGGAGGGGACAGTTCTACCTTTAGTGTGAAATATAATGACATGTTAGTTTCAATAGAAACACTTTTCTTGATTATGGTCATATCAGAATGAAATTCACACAGCTGTGGAAACTCAACAAACACAAAACTAATTTGCTTGAGAAGGTGGAAGTCTTTCCTTTTCAAAGAAAGGCACGCTCTAAAAACCTCAAACTCACTGCCGCGGGGTCACTTCCCACTCAGAGCGACCCTAACACTCAACATCAGGAAGAGTTGTTCCTTTTGGGCCCAATCCTGGTCTGTTTTCCAGTCCTCAGTTCTGATCTTGCAATAATGTGGGATGGAAAAGACGTGCATGCCCATTATGCTGTTTGTCCATTTGTAAGACAACTGGTGGAGAATATATATAATTATCTCTTATAATTATAGATATGTGTAGACATAATAGACATAATTCTAGATATAATAGAATATGTGTAAGAAACTGGACATTTCACTGGACTTTTATTTTGCTTCTTGTTTCCTCCTGTAGGAGGTGGTTTCCGATGAAAGGCATCAAGGTGGACAGCTACTGGAAGAACCAAAGTTGCTGCATTTCAAAGGGAATACTTTCAGTCTGCAGATCTCCGTCCTCGATATCCCCCCCTTTCTCTGGAGAATCAAACCATTCACTGCATGCCAGGTACTGGCCCAATGGGTTGCTAAAGAAACAGCATTACTTTAGCCAGCAAGTGTGTCACCACCTCTGGTGAGAATCCTCTTGATATTCTCCGGCCTTTGTAAGTGTGGCTTTCACTTTCAAAACAGTCACCGAATTGTAACAGTGTAGGTCTCACATACATATACACATACACACACACGTAAAATGAAGCATATTGGCTTATATTCGGAAGTTTCTAACAGGTAGGGGAAAGGTGCATGCATGTCAGGTGACAAGACATTTCTCCTCTCCCCCTTTGTATGGTTGCTTGATGTAAGTGGAAGATGACAACTTAACACTTTAGCACTCAGTTTGTCAGTCATGAATCAAAGGCGGTTCATTCTAAGATACTCTTTTAATGAGAAACCTCGTGAGAGTGTGCTTCAGAGTCAAGATTTTGAGTAAGAGCGCTAAGGCTAGGCAAGATGGGAAGAAGAAATTATATACTGAGGAGCAAAGGTAGAATAATTCTTTAGAACCTTTTTACAAGTAAAAATATTTATATACTACGGTCTACAGCCTTTGTATTGGAGGCTTTGTTGCTGTTGTTGTTATTGTTGTTTGTTTGTTTTAGGGTGACTTCTAGTCTCTGTGCACCATTTTAGCAGATGTTTCACTACACTCTTATCAATTTGTGACCCTACCCTAAATTCCATGAGCATTCCTGCTTAGGTTATATGTATTGTCATCGTAAGGAGCCAACTGACAGGCCATAGTTTCTTAAGCCAGAGGCACCTGCGCTTCGTGTGACAGGATGTTTCTAAAGCTCTGAAGAAGCTTCTGGTGGATTCATATTGATCTGGAATCACGGAGGGTGTCAGACTTCTTTGTTCTGCCCATCAGCATAACCCGCCAAGCCCTGTGGGCTTCGTAACCTTTCCATCCTTGCTGCCATCCTGGTGGTGTTGTTTTTAATACACAAGGCAGGCCAGCCTGTCAGAATGGGAACCAGCCAAACCACAAAGAGAAAATCCTGATTGCGGCAGGAGAGTTAGAAGAAAGGTGAACCACTAATCTTTTCAACTGCTAAAATTCAGAATTTTCAAGTTGGACATGCCTGCCTTTTTCTATTTACTTTTTCAGCCTTCTTGTTATCCTGGGGAATCACCCCTCTCTGTGCTGTGTGGGTGCATTCAAAGCAACATGAACACCTCTCATGATCACAGACTTTTTCTTCTTTTGTGGCACATTCAGCACATTTCCTTATGGAGGGATATTTTCTATGAATAAATGTATTGTTTATGATATTCAAGATCTAGCTGGCTCTGTTTTCCAGTAAGCAGTATTCAAAGTTTCTAGCCTAAATGGAACTTCAGGGTGTCGTTAAAACAAGTCCTGATAGTCATGCAAATGTCTCTTTATTAATCTTTATAGGTTATAAGGGCCTTACTTCACTGGATCTAATGTGCCCGCATCAGTCCAAAGTAACTATTAAGTTTATTGCCCAGAGATAAAAAAAAATCAGATGAAGGAGCCATTCTCTTGGAGCAGCACTTAAACAATAAGTTTAACACCAGGGATTCCGAAGTGAGTTGAGCCTGCAAACACTGGGAGGACTAAGTGCCTTCTGACTTCCTAAGATGCCACAGGGACAGCCCATCCCGGAGAGCATTGGCTTGTGAGAAAACCGCACACATTTCACTGCCCAGGATGAGCTGGAGAGCAAGGAGGTTGTGAATGTGTATAAATATTTGCCTTTTGTAATTGAGTATAATTTGAATGAGTCTTGGAAGGCTGAGAAACAATTTAATTTTCTCTGCACCAGAAGGCTTGCCCACTGAGTTGTCATTTCACTTCATTTTTCTTACCCAGGAACCTCTTTCTGCTCTGTTCCTCCTTCCTCTTCACCATCCCCAACCACCAATTTCCTTGCCCTGTCATCATTGCAACCCTCCAGCTGGTGTGAATGCGTATTGCGTTTGGCTTAATGGCCATGCTGTGTTTGCTGCAGGCATTAGAAACAAGCACTTTGGGGAGGGCTTGAGTTCAGCCTGCTTGAACCTCATGTAGAACATCATGTGCACTGACAAACTTGGCGTGGATAATAGAAAATGGCTTTTCATTAGGGCTTAGTGGTTAGGAACTAACAGAGCCTTCTTCTTGTTATCCCAGAGAGCTATTGTGGAGACAGAAAATCGCATTCTTTCTGAGATCACTTATAGGTCTCCCCTCCAACCAACAATTCTCCCTGTCATCTCTCAGCTCGATGCAGAGAAGACCCCTCGCATAGTTTGTTATCTCATTCCCATGGCTTCCCCTCCCTTCAAATGATGGATTCTGAGACTCACCATATTAGGCTTGGTACCCAAACTCTATACTCCCAAGAAACATACCTGTTTTCTCCTGTGAAATATAGATTTACCCATGTAGGGCTCGACCTCAGATGTACCCAACCCCTAAAATGCTTGCCACCTGGTTCCTAAAATGTGTCATCAACAAACATCACGAACAAGGTTTTAATAATGCTGAGAGTTCAAGATTGGGTCCAGAGGTGTGTGATGAGAGCCAACAGCTACGGGGATCGCCAGGATTTTGCATCTTCTTGGTTTCAGTCTTCAGGGATTATTGGTAATTTGTGAAATAGTGTTTCTTGTTTTCTTCTTGGGCTTTAAGACTCTACATAATTAGGGATAAGTAAGGCACTGTGCTCTGCTCAGAATTAGCAGCTCTCCTGTAAGAAGAGATAAATAACTCTGCTTTAAGAGGTTGTTGGGGCCAAAAAGCTACTTAGTCACGTTTCTCTTTATACTTAGCCGACTGTGTATGAGGAAACTGTAGTAAACAGTATACAAAAAAGTATTAATTTATTTTTTAAATCCCAGGAAACACAGTCAGGCTGTCACCTCCCTAGGATAAATGGAGCTGTCTTTTTCAGCATGCTACATGTCTTGGAGAACCCAGTGTCTATCTCCTGCTAAGATGTGATTTACATTCTCTCCATCTGCTAGGAACCTAATTATAATGGGAATCAAAATGAAAACATTTCCAGAATTCTTTAAACACCCATAACTTTACTACACTGTGTCCTCCCCTATATCTTTCCACACAATTCCTCCCAGTGCAGTCAGCATCTTGTGTGTGTGGTCTAGGTGTGTGCTTTAATACATGAAAGCAAAAATGGTTATCCTGAAAACATACTAATCACAGTGCTTCTAAATCTTCTGGTTTTAGTGTTTTGGTGAGCACTATTGGCAGTTGCTTCTCAAGCCAACAATAAAATGGACTCTTAATATTGTCAAAATCAGACTTTTAAGAAATGTTTTGATTGTATATATTGGAATGGAAAGAGAAAGAGGAGTTCTATTCTAGGTTGTCTTGTATTTCGGTTAGGAAAGATTCTCTCAACAGTGAGCAATTACTCTCTTAGCTTTCTTCCAATATTTTTAGGAGAGAAAAAAGAAGAGAACAGAAAATTTAGCAAGTGATACCATAGAAAACTTTAAAATAAAAGATCAACATTATACTTTTTAGGAGGGTAAACATCACCCAGGATTCAAATCCAGCCCAGAAGATATACGCTTGCTTAAAGTTAGACCTGACATTCTGCTTTTGCTAGCTCTAAAATCAGTGTAATTTTATTACATGACAATGAGTCCAAAGTCAGTTAGAGGAAAAGCAAAAAACAAAAGAAAAAGTACAAACCAATTTCCCAGCTAAATTTGGCAAAAATCCCTATTGCCCACAGATCTATTACAATTATTTGCATTGAAGAATTCCATACAAAGTGACTTTATAAAAAAAATAAATGGGCCTCCACTCAAGTACTCCCCCAATGCAAGAATACTTTCTTCTATTAAATTGGCATTCTATGACGCTCACCTTCCCGACACATCTGCTGAAGACAAAGCAGGTGAATGAGCAAATGTGAGGAAGAAAGCTGATGGTGCCTGGCTATCAAAAGATATAGCATCTGGAGTCTTAAAGGCTTGAAGGTAAACAAGCGGCCATCTAGCTCAGAAGCAACAAAACCCAGATGAAAGAAGCATGCCACCCTGTGTGATCACGAGGTGCTGAAGGGATCAGTTATCAGGCATCGAAGAACAAAAAATCATATCATTGTGTGCTCACCTCC